ATTTTAACAACTCTGAGCTATTAGTTAAGTTCTCCCCAAGCGAGCTCGATGGGCCGAATGGCCTCCTCTCGTTTGTATAGTTCTTATGTTCTTATGTTCAATGATCCACATTAAGCATAGTACATAAATATGTCACTTGAACAACATTGTTTATTTGTTTTCATATTATAAGGTGTACCTTCAAATTGTCGTAGTTGAAGTCGCTCTCCTGCGAGGAGCTGGTGATTTTGTAGCCATGGTAACCCTCGATGACACGGTCGAAAAAGTCGCAGAAGAGGATATAAGACTGGGCGTCTCCGGCCAGGCAGCCGACAGACATGGGTCCCGAGGGCGTCCCTGGGCAGGGCAGGGACATGGGGACACATCAGCAGCTGAAGCTCATTGGCTGGAGCATGGTGAGTTGCGGCTATGAATATAACATTCGCCGTCAGCTGCGCCTCACACATTAAATCAGGGTTTGTAACTAGAATATATGTTTTTCTGCTGTTAAACCCTGTACATTTTTTTACTGATGACCTGTAGTCTCAGAATCTTTATTCACCCAGTTTCACTTTAATATGCAGCAAAGCCTTTCTTAGATAAATTAAAGAATTCAGGATCTTCTGACTACCTACTGATCCACTGTCCATCTGTTACCATCCAATAAAAATGTAGGTTACATCTGACTTTATTACGATTTACTCTATCACGCTGCATGAGGCATCTGGCACTGTGGCTTTTGTTGAGAAGTTGACCAGCAGCATAGGAAACTTCTTAGTTTATGGAGCCAAATGAAGCAAATCTTCTTTCTTATCAGCCCCGGACATGAACAGGAGCACCGGGCCTGAGCTGGGTAAGCGTCACATGTTCCTCTAAGATCAGTTTCCATTTCCTGCTGTGTCAGCAGTTGCAGGCGTTACAGATTTAGATAAGACTAAAGAAACACTACAGGGGAGAGCCCTTGGCATTTAAACACAAATAAATTTTCTTTCACACTTAAATCCCCTCGGTACACCCTTACTTGGTTTTAGTTGTGCCATTGGGGGTACAACAGCGGGCTAATTAAAGTGACTTGTTAAGACCTAAAATGCATTTATGATAATATCCTCTAAGTATGGGAGCACACAGTGTATGTTATGTGCCTAAACAGGTAACTGGTCCAAATCCCAAGGTCAGAACGGTACTTTCGTCATTGGGCCCCTGAGCAAGGGCCTTAACCATCAAATTTTCTAGCCATTGTCTGACCCTGCTTTCTCACAAATGACGTACCTGACTTTGGACAAAAAAGTCTGCTCAATAAATCAAATGTAAACAGTATCAGTTTGTTAGGGGTGGTGTGTGGTTCAGCCGGTTAAGACATTATGTTTGTAATCAGAAGGTTGTCAGTTCAAAGCCTTGAATCTACTGAGTGACTTCAGCATGGACCTAACCCCTAATTGTGCTGGGCACTGGCAGCCCAAAATATATGCAGTTTTGGAAAAAAGCATCTGATAATTAAATACAATGTAAGTACAACACCAGTCAAAAGTTTGGACACACCTACCCATAGAATGGTTAATTATTATTCTGTACATTTTAGAATAATTCTAAAGACATCAAAACTATGAAATAACATATATAGAATTATTCACTGGCCGAAAAAGTGTTAAAAAAAATTGATTTGTTTGGGGGTGGGGCAGCTCTATGGTTTGGTTGCCGGGTCAAATCCCCAGTTTGGCAGAGTGATCCCACCATTGGGCCCTTCAGCAAGGCTCTTAGCCCCAATTGCTCCAGGGACTGGCTGACCCTACTGCCTCCTGTACTCCAGTTTCATAAGGTGGCCTCCTGGGATGCTTGTCCAGCTGTCCTGAAGGAGGTCCCACATATGCTGAGCACTCATTGGCCGCTTTTCCTTCACTCTCTGGTCAAACTTTCAATTGGAAATATAGCATTAAATGACAGTACTCTCATCTGGAGTGATCTGATGTAAAGATGTAAAACTGCTACTTAGAGCATCGCCCGAGAGTCTCGCCATGTTTCTGTACCTGGTTCTTCTAGCCCTGGCCGTATGACATCATCAAAGATGACCCCGCTTTCCGTGGCCCTGCTGAACTGCCGCTCGTACATGTGGGGCGTGAGGATACGGCCCATCCAGGTGTAATTGCCATCGAGGCTGGGAAACTCCTCCCTGGCTGACAGCCTCTTCAGCCTGAAGAGGGTCATGGGGTCCCGGGGCATCCTGCTCTGGGGTGGACAGCAGCGCATCATGCTGGGAATGGGCGTGGGCTCAGGGCTGTGTCATGTCATAGTAACGTACAGTAACGTACAGTATAACATTCTTATAGGATCAACAGGCACCAATAAACATGGTGAGAAGTCCCTGGGCTATTTGAGCAGAAGTGGATAGTTCTGGTCCAGATATTAAAAATCCAGACCAAGGTTTTGTTTCAACCAACCAGCTGAGTACTCTGTGCCTGAACTATCCACCTCTGTATTTGAGTTGTCAGAGGGTCTTCGACTAATTTCTACAATGGTGTAGTTGTTGACTGGGATAGGGGATGGCAACAGTAAAAATTGTCAACCAGAATGGGGGAGGGGTGATGATAAAATTTGCCAATAAGAATGTTGGGAGGATCAGTTGCATGGTCCAGATTATATTGTATTTGTGTTTGTGTAACAAATTATTACCCATATTGGTTCAAATGTGACAGGTGGCAACTCTAGGTTTAAAATACAGTGGTACCTCAGTTCTCGACCTCATTAGAACTTGAATTTCTTAAAAGATGAACCAACCAGTTCGAAAAAAAAGTTACCTAGAACTCGATCTGAATCTCAGAAGTCAAACCGTGAACGCCGACCTAAGAAAACTTGTACACGCGAGGAAATGAGTCACGCGGCACGTCTCTCAGCGGAAACAAAGGGTAACGCTTCAGTCTCAGCCTCGCATACCCTGTGATAGCATCGTGCATGTTTATACTAACTGAATACATATATTTAGACAGTAAAAATACATTTAGATAATGATAGACAGTAACAGTAATTATTATTATATAATAAAATACATTTAAAAATAAAGATTTCT